AAAACCGTACCCTTTTATGTAATGATGTTTACTTTGAATTTATATTAGTTCACACAAACACTCCATCCATGCTTTTGTTCCGGCCCTCCGGTCCATTTTAAGAACCCATTGTGGCCCTGGAGTCAAAAAGTTTGCCCACCCCTGGGGTAGACTGTTGGCAGAACTCCATGCAGGTGATTGGTGGCAGGTGAGTGAAGGTAGGCATCACAGGAGCTGGAGGTTTTGCTGACAGAACACAACCTCTGTGTCCTGGAAGACCACAGGAGCAAAACCATCACCAAGGAACCAGAGAAGCACCACAGACAGGCCCTGGGCACAGGGTGACGGGCTGACAAGAGGAGCAGCAACATCAGGGCCTCAATGCGGAGCGAGGGGAGCGTCTTTCTCACCCCCTGTTGGGGATCCAGGTTGATCACAGATTCTGGCAGAGCCCTAAGTGTCCTGTTTGGGATTCAGAAGCACTTCCCTTGGACAAGAGGAAAGGAGAAGCTAGAGGCAGGCCAGTCACCACACCTTCGCACTCAGGAGTTATGCTTATTTTCATCTCTATGTCCCTTGCCCAGGACTTCTTTTGTAGATGGACCTGCTCCCCCAAACCTCTAGGGCAGTGGTTCTCAACCTTCTGGCCCTTTGAATACAGTTCCTCATGTTGTGACCCAACCATAAAATTATTTTCGTTGCTACTTCATAACTGTAATGTTGCTACTGTTATGAATCGTAATGTAAATATTTGATATGCAGGATGGTCTTAGGAGACCCCTGTGAAAGGGTTGTTCGATCGCCAAAGGGGTTGCGACCCACAGGTTGAGATCCGCTGCTTTAGATGATCATCCCTTTGCAGCTAGATAACACCCTCTCTACTTCAGCTGCATAGTGGCACATAAAAAAGGGCTAGATCCAGAGAATTAACCCCTCCTGTGGCCCAATTACAGTTTTCCATAAAGGCAACCATAATTGCTCCAATCTGGTTTAATTCTAGGAATTCATTACAAAATTTAAAACCATTGTGTAAGAAAGCCTTCAGACTGTAACACACCTTGAGTCTAACATCTTCCTTTGGCTATAAATACACATGCTCTCTACAGAGTCCAAAGCTGGATAGAGTCTTCTTATACCACGTAGGTCGTACCTCTTAGTAGTCTCACACACCTATGTACATCTTTCTTGGCTTGTTTAAAAGATAAGTTCCCATGCATCCTAGGAAATACACAATATGCTCCACACAATGGGGTCAATCTATATCCCGAACTTTAAAAGCCCCAAAGTACGTTGCATCTTGATCTGGATCCAATAGTGAAGGGTTGGACACTTCGATGCTTATTTCCTCTCCAGACCGTAACTTAAAAAATCCTCCAACATTTATGGAGTAAAAATGGAATTCAGAATTCCCTGACCAGTATTTGGTGCTTCCTCCTTTCATCAGGGTATGAGAACTTGGGATTTTGATACTGGTTTTAGTGACATAGACCATCAGCTGAAGATACTCCGTATCAAGGTCTCCCGAAGTTTCATGATGGCGAAAGCAAATGTTGGCATACAGGTAATAAAAGCCATCTTGGTTGACTATTAGTTTTCCATTGCTGAAAGTCATGTTGGAGATCTTGGCCCAACCTTATAGAGAAAAAGAAAAACAAGAATGATTAGAAATAGCATGGTAAACAGGGAATAGAATATAAGATATCAGAAATAAATATAAATGTACCCATAATCACAGTAAGTGTAAATTGACTTAATTCAGTTAAATGACAGATACTCTCCAGGTTGAAAGTAAAACAAAATCCAGCTATATTCTGTTTTTGGAAGAATTTCTAAAACATAATGACACAGAAGTTGACATTTAAGAGAGAGGGGGGGAAAAAAGTACCAGACACATTTCCAGCAAATGGAAAACAAGGTATTAAAAAAATCTCTCTGCCACCCAAAACATCCAGATCTGGACAAACCACTTTACTAAAGTAAAGAAACTTTAAAAGGTATCTATAATAATAAAAGGGTAATATGGTAATTAGACCGGACATCATTCTGGATGAAGCCGGGGCCGGAGGGAAGCCTGGGTCCTGGGTGCCAGAGGGAAGCTGGTGCGGGCAGCCAGGGGAAAGAAGACCTACTCTTGCACGAATTTCATGAATCAGACCTCTAGTTATTTATATATAAAAGCCTAAGCAACTGAACAATCAAACAACCAACTGACCAAATGACCAGTCGACTGGTCGCTATAACACACACTGACCACCCGGGGGCAGATGCTCAACATGAGAGCTGCCCCCTGGTGGTCAGTGCATTCCCACAGCCAACCTTCCGCAGTTGGCCAACCTCCCGTGGTCCCTCCCCCTGGGCTGCAGTCCTTTCCCTCAGCTGGCTGGCTCCGATGACCCTGATCAGGGCCACCAGCCAACCTCCTTGGTCCTTCCCCCTGGCTGGCCAACCTCCCATGGCCAGCCAACCTCCCATGGCCCCTCCCTCCATCGGCCCACCTCCTGCGGCCTCCATCAGCCCCCGATCACTGGACAGGCCGCTACTCCCTGACCTTCACCTATACAATGTATCTTGATTTTCTTTTCAAACACCATACAATTTACCCACTTAAAGTATATAATTCAATGTTTTTAGAAAGTTGTACAACCATCACCACATTCTTTTTAATGGCTGCAGAAACTTTATTCAGTACATATTTCTT